TTACTTTTGAGAAATTATTTATATTATGTAAAAAAAAAATATTTTAACAATTATGGCACAATAGTAATATATAAAGCCATGTACATAAACATAATATAATAAATTTTAAGAGTACTATAATGTTACTTAAAAAAATTTCAAATAAACAAAAAAAAATTTAGAACTTATAAATTTCCAAGTAGAATACACATACATGTTGGTACATATATTGCATATGCGCGTAATATAAAATGCGTGGATAAAAAATAAAAATACATATGTATGCATATAGTATTTATTATTTATGATAATTTTATATAGATGTCAATTTTAATTTATATAATACTCTACACTTGCTCACACTTTTATTCAAATGTTAATTAATAAGAACAACCAACCTTAATCAAATTTCATTAAATAACAATATAAGGCAAGATGTGCATCCTTTTTTTTAAAGATTTCAGGTGAAAAGAAATAAAGTTGGGTCAAAGTAATGGTTTGTATTGTAGCACTTTTCCCTTCAACAAGTGAAAATACTACTTTTAAGAACATCTGAACCATCACTATATTTTTAAAATTACTTTCATTCATGTACGAATATATTTCAAAAATTGCATACCTTTAAGAAGGGCAATGTACTCAATCTTTAAAATAAACCAAATAAAATTGAAAGAGGTGCTAACTTAATGGTCGAATTTAAGTCTTATTTGTGTGAGTTAAAAAAATAATTATATTTTTGAGCAGTATTGCTTTTAAACAAATTCTGTGTATAGCTACCACACTATTAAAACTATTTTCATTCATAAGCGAAACTATCGCACATATTTAGGATGAACGATTTATGCAGTCTTTGAAATAAAGCAAAAATTAATTTATAAAGGGGTTAACATATTGCTCGATTTTAAGGGTTAATTGCGTGCGTTAAGAAAAATAATTATATTTTTTAATGTCAAATGTAACGGAACTTACCGTTAGCTTTCTGCGTTTAATAGAAACTTGAAAAAGCTTGCGTTTTCGGAAATATAAGGCGTCAAAAATTCAAATTTTACAAATTTCAAGAGGCGTTAACTTGAGAGGGGGTGGAGATAGAAAAACATTTTGTTCAAACGAAATAAACCAGTTATTAGTGTCTAACAGTTACTAAATTTCAGGCTCCCAAAACCTGGAGTTTAGACGAAAAATGACATCAAAAATTTGGAAAAAACGAATTTTACATAACAGTAAATTTGAATGGCCATTTTGTCCTTTCAAAGCTTAGCTATAATATACCGTAACAGGAGAAGCAAGCCACTGCCTTTCTGCGTTTTAGAAATTTACAAAATGCTTATGGTTTCACTGCTATCAATAGTTAAAAAATGGCATTTTTAGGGTTTTGGGGGATATAACTTTTAGAAGGTGGGAGATAAGTAAAAATTTTGTTCTACGAAAATAAGTTTCTAGTAAAGATTTCAACTTTCTCTCTTCAAGGGTGTAGAAGTTTTGTAAACATGCCCACGAGCGGACAGAAAGAGTGAAACTAATTAGCACTTTGTTTCAATTTTTTTTTGGGAAAAGTGCTAAAAAGCACTGTTTTTGTATTCGTTTCTTCTCCTTAACAAAAGGTTTAATTTTTCTAAAAAGAAATTTCTACAAAAATAGCCTCATTATTTATAATTAGAAAAAAAAATTTTTTCGTTTAAAATATAATTTAAAAATTTTATCAACAATTTAAAAAAAAATTAAAAGAATTTACAAAAATTTACTGAAATAAAACAACTCTGCGGTGTCGTTGCTGTAATGAAGTTACTGCGGGGATGTTGGTATAAGCGTGTCGCTATGACGATGTTTGTATGTTGCAGGGATGATTGCTGCTATGATTCCCGTATATTTTCGCTTGTTACCGTTCGTAATTTTTCAGCATCGGTTACTGCAAATTACGTTGTGGCTGTAAAAACTTGTATGAGACTTTTAGCGTGGTTTTCTTGTGGTTTTGACGTGAATAACTTTTTTATTTTATAAATTTTACTAATACAACATCTTAGTCGCGAAATTAATAAGTAATGTGCCTATTACACTTAATAATTTAACTTAATGGAAATCTCTTCATGCAACTGCAGAACAGATGGATGACGTAATCAAAGGAACGAGTTAAAGGCAGAAAAATTAATTAATTCATCTGTTCTGCAGTTGCATGAAGAGATTTCCATTAAGTTAAAGCTTTTTTATTATTTTTCCTTTTTTTTATATTCTTTTCACTTTACACTTTAAATTTTTTTAATATAAAAAATTTAATTGTGTGAAGTGTGTGATTTTATTATTTTATTTGCATTATCTGTAAGCCTTTTTGTTTGTGTGATATATGTGTATGTATGTATGTGTATATAAACTTTTTTAAATTTATTATCTATATTATATTTTTTATTAGTTATATAAAATATTTAATTCAAATGCACTTTTTTATGTAGGGTTGTTTTATTGTTCAAAGTAGAGGTCACCAATATTGGTATTTCGTCAATCTCGCTTGATACCAAATTAGCATTTTTATGTTTCCAAGAAAATAAGAATATAATATTTAAGCACAAAAAAAATATACTTTATTTTTAATTCACAAATTGTAATTATTCTTAATATTTATTATCCTTAAATTTTAATTTTTAAGTTATAATAATTATTTTTTAAACAAAAAAGAGATATTGGTATACACTTTCTCAATATGAAGCTATGTATTCCATTATTTAAGATATAGTATGATTGAGGGCGCCAGAGGCACCCGTCTTCTGTGTTTATGGAATTGAATCAAAATGCAAATTTTTCAAGTAATTTGTTTTTCTGATTATTTAACCCGTTTTCTAAACTACTACACATACATACTTTTAAAACTTCAGTAATTTGAGAAACAACAATACATTGTACTTATATTGCAGCATTTTAAAAAGCAAGCAAATCAAAAAAAATCTTGCAAGTTCCTGTTGTAATCTTTAAATTTAAATAAACCAAATAAGTAAAAAAGCTTTAAAATTTTAGGTTTTTTGTTCTTCGAAGCAAAATAAACCTGTCTTTCTTGTTATATAGCTTTAAAAAAAATTGAGGTTTTAAAACTATTCACATTAGAATGAAGTTGTTTTTTTATTCACCGTTGAGCATGGGCTAATTTAAACGTTACAAAATAAGAATAGGTATATATTATGTGCATAAATATGTATACAATTTGATGAAGCAAAAAAACTTCAAAATTAGTAATAATAAGTATAAAATAATTTATAAGTAAAAAGAAGTAATAATAAGTTTTACCAAGTTGTTGCAGTTCTGTATGTCATGCGGCTTTCCTCTAGCACCTAGATAAAATATTTGGTATGAATATATTACGCTTTGCACAAATACATTCTTATTGAAATAAAATACTCGTCATATGCACGTTATATTCTATATGAGTGTAAAAACGAAACCAAAGTTTCCAGCCCAAGGAAAAATCAAATATTTAATATTTTGTATATAAAACCGCACTCACATGGTGTCAAACCCACACAAATGATGACAAAAAAACCCCAATGGCAAAATGGGATTTTAGTCTCTTTCAACGCCAACGTTAAAGCACGGTTCATCCTTCGAAGTCCCATTTATATATATATGTGTATTCTAAATTATATGTGCTTAATATGCAACGCTTCACATATATGTCTGACCTATAATTGGACATACGACTGCCAAGTTTCATTAATCTCACTTTATTATTTTTCTAAATATTTAAAATTGGCTTTTGGACTTCAATGGCATCCCGAACCCGAACCCGTTCAGCAATTCCACTAAAACTTCAGAAATATATCTGACCTAAAATTGGGCAAACGACTGCCAAGTTTCATGACTTTATTATTTTTTCAAATATAAAAAATTTGCTTTTGGAGTTGTATGGCAGCCATCCGAACCGGTGCCGTCATCCAATTAAAATTTTTAGAACGCATGTAAAATATAATTGGACACACCTTTACGAAATTTGATATTAATATCTCTATTAGTTTTCGAAATATTTAAAATAATTAAATATGTTGTATGGCAACTACCCGAACCCGTTGTCCGAATTAGGCCAATTACAATAGGGTTCGTCCTTGGCACAAAAGAAACAGCTTGCGAAAGTTTGGTGTCGATTGCATTATTCGTTTTTGAGTTATCGCGCGATCGGACGAACGGATGGACGGACGTACGGACATGTCTAAAAATTTCAAACAAACACGATATTGATCGGTTTATTCAGATTCATTAACAAAAATTTCCTTTATAAAACGTAACATTGCAATTTAAGGTTTTTTTTTGTAATATTAAGTAATTTGTTTTATCGTTTTTTCATCATAAAGTTAAAAGAATGGTTAGAATCAATCTATTTTTCTCCCTGCTTACACCTTTACAATGATATTTTGACAGGACTTAATATATAAAGTTTTGAAATTGAATAAATTTTAATCCATCTCAAATAAAAATCGAAGATTTGTGACTTCAAATTAAAAATATGTACATTTTTTAAATTTTTACAAAAAAAATAAAATAAGTGTTTACACAAAGGATGAAAAAATTGAAAAAAATTTATAATTATTCAAGCTTATAATTGGGTCAAAACCATAGTCATTTAATAATGCTCGCATTGATTCTCATACCTGGGTTTACGTTTTTTTTCATAACTACATATGCGTGTTTTTTTCGCTTTAAAAACAAAATAGTAGCTTTTTACCACTCTATATCTAAGCATTGTGCTATACATCATAATATGGCGTAGAGTACAAATGGATACTATGACAACAGTCTATTTTAACAGCAAATTTCTTTGGTTTTGGTTTCAATCGAAAATATTTTCTTCTTCGTTATGTAAGAAATTTGTAACAAACTATGCTCATAAATTTTATAAATAATTAAACAATTTTTTGTAATAGTAAATGTGAGTATTTGAAAAATTCAAATTTTTTTATTTTGATTTGGGTAAAAATTTTGCAGATATTCAAATATACATACCGTTGGTAAATAATAGCGTTATTGATTGGATCATAGTATTATTCATGTCCGACAGTGTTTTGAAAGTAAAATCTTCAAGTCGTCGAGAAAAAAATATCAAAGTAATCACAAACAAGAATGAAAACGAGACAAGAAATGAATCTGTACTAATTATACACCAGACACCACGATCTTCTGTATTAAAAATAGATTCATTTGTACCAAATTTAAAGTTACAGCGTTTAAAAAAGAATTCAACAAAGAACCTTTCATTACTTGGCTCTTCAGCATATATTAGACGATTAAATGCTACAAACAGAAATTCGGTGATCGATAGAAATGTTCGAAAATACTGTTATAGAAATGGCGTACTTGGCTTAAATAACAGAAATTGTGATAAAAGTAACAATAACTTCCACAATTGCGCGGATTTTCAAAAGTCAACCATATCAAAAAAAAAAGCATGTGCAATAGGTCAGAAATTAAACGCCAGTTCGATTGTAGCAAATCCATTCAGTCAAACAAATTCAATTAGTTTGCCTTTAGAGTATAGTTTGATAACAAATTTTGGAGGAATTTGCAAAATTCTTCGAACTCAAAAAGAAAAAGAAAAACTTCCAGATCGTATCAACTGTGATAAAAGGGGTTTAACTTCAATACCTTTATTTTTAAATGAAAGTAATTTAAGATTACTCTCATTGCAACACAATTTAATAAATGTTTTTCATGTTCCATCTGATCGTAACAACGAAGATAGAAATATTGAATATGAAAATAAAGAAGAAAACAAATCTGTTTCTGTTGACTTACCTCCAGTTCCAAAAGTTAATAATCATTACATTCAATTTGAGCATATTCATTTGAAAGTTGATACTGCAGTTCAAAAAAATATTCTCAAAAAGAAGCACAGCAAAGTTCTTATAAATGAAATGCTTGGAAAAGAGTTATCCGACAATGAAATCGAAACTACAACTAAACCAAGCCTTGCTAATAATGCATTAGGGTCTTCTTTAACTTTTAATATCAATAATATGGTCAAATGTGAACAGAACTCCATTTCAAATTTGAAAACTAATTATTCGGCTTTAAAAACTTCTGTAATTAAAAATTCATCTGGAAGGACCCTAGTAGAATCTCACAATACCAAAATATTAAAAACTTTGAAAGATGAGTTCAAAAGTAACAACAGCATAACAGACATAAAGCGAATGTCTTCGTTAGAAACAAGTGACATAACATTTATAACGCCCCAAAATTCGAGAAATAGAATAGAAAATAGTATATCAAATAATGATAACGTAGAAAATTTGTTTATGAATAAAATTATATTAAATGGAACTTATGCAGATATCTACCATAATTTGATTTTTTTGGATTTGTATAATAATCAAATTGAAAAAATTCTCAACTTGGATGGATTTAAAAATCTTACGGTTTTGTTGTTGGGTAAAAATCGCATTACCGATATTTCGGGCATATCGTCACTTAGAAAAACTTTGCGTGTATTAGATTTGCACGGCAATCGGATCACTAACATTTCAAATAAAATAAACGATTTACACGAGTTAAAGTCTCTAAATCTTGCTGGGAATCAAATTGAACAGATTCACCAAAATGATTTTGAAGGTCTTATAAATCTAAAAGAACTAAATCTAAAGCGAAATAAGATTAAACGCGTTCACGGATTTCATCATTTAGTAAATTTAGAGAGATTATGGCTCTGTCATAATGATTTACAAAAGGTTGATGACATGTTTTCAGTAGCTAAAGCCACGAATTTGCAGGAAGTCACTGTGGAGAACAATCCTGTGTCGACAGAGGGCGACTGTGTTTCATTCTTGGTCAGTTATTTACCAAACTTGAAAATTCTAAGTCAAATGCCAGTAACAGATCAAGTACGTAAAGCAGCTTTGGTGTGGCGCAAAAATAAAGAAATGTCTGAAAAAAATAATTTAATTCATTTGTCAAGCAATTTGTACAATCATATCCGAAGAGAGGAAATAATTTCAAATGCAAGAACTAATTGGGAATTATTAAGATCTCAACGTACCGCGTCAGGAACACAGAGAGGTAAAATAAAAAATAAAAAATGTACTTCAACAATAAACATAAACATGGATATCGAAAATAACGCAAAACAATTATATTGTTCCACAAATTTAAGGACAGAGAAAAAAGTATCTTTAATGAGCTCTGAAACGTTGTTGTCGAGAGGACTACAACGTAGCTTTTTAAAAGAGAGCGATGATAGCGAAGAACTGCAACTACCACTAATTTCTGAACCAATATTTCCTTCTGTAACAAGTAAAATCCCGTTGAAAGGTAAAAAGAGCAATTCTAATTCCAGTTTAAGCCCGAACTTACATTCGTCTTCAAGTGGTTTAGGATCAGACTCTGATGAACAGTCAAAAACGATAAAAAAAAAAAAAATTGAGCAAGTTGTACCCTTACTTACCTCGCCCTCAACACCATCAGTGTTATCATCATCATCATCATCATTATCATCATCAATGTCGTTATCTTCAGAGATCAAATGCAATGAAAATTTAGAAATTAAAACAAGATTGGAAGAAATTGATCCACAATTTAATCAAAATATTCTAGCTGGTAATCAAAATACATCAGAAAAAGATCTTGATTTAAATCAACTAGAAAATTTCAATATCTCAGCAGCGCCGGTAACGGAAAAAATATTTCATGAAAATGAAAGCTTAGTCACTTATAACAAACAAGGATCAGAGTTACATACACCTAAGTCTGCATCTACAATTTTATCTAAAATTGTTAACTGCTCAGCGAAGGATGATTGTTCCTCAAGTTCAAATAGCATTTTGACCATAAGCTACAGTTCGAAAAACATGGGAAACTATTCTAATAATATTAATATACAAGAAAAATTTCAAATGAGGCGAGCTGACTGCACCATTTCCTGTAATGTAAATGCAATGAAAAAAAGTAATAAAAATTCTATCTTAAGGTCGCAAACGGCTCGATTTTGCAAAAGCAACAACAACGTTCTGAATATCAATCAACAACAGGACTCAATTCTTGATAAGTCAAACACAAGTGGTAATTATGGAGTAACGAGTTTAAATAAGCAAGTTGTAGAAAGGGAACGTGAACAAGGGGGGGATTACTTAATAGAAATATGCGGGAAGTATTTGAATATATATGGTGCTGGTGCATTACGTTTTATAGAAAAGCAGTGGAATCAAGCCAAAGCTTGTGATGTTAATACCTTGAATTTCAGTTACATAAACTTCAATAATATTGCGTATTTATTAAGTAGAATAAAGCAACGTTTTCCTAATGCAGAAAAATACATATTTCGTGAGACTAATTTGCAAAGTTTAGGACAGTTGAACGCGTTGGCTGATTTGCAAGGTATACACTCATTATCAATTGAACCCGAAGGAAACTATTTAATAAACAATCCGCTTTGGAAGAGTTATGCTATATACCGCTTAAATCATTGGGGTTTAAAATTTTTAAACAATATGGAGATTACAACTTTAGAAATTGAAAATGCTCAAAAAAGTTTTAAAATAATATCCGACATAGTTTTATGGATAATACCCGAATCTATTTTGCAACCAATAGTACATAAACTACATTTTGAAGAAAAATATACCATGAGCTCGTTTTATTCTAAAGAATTGCTTCCAAAAATTGACAAAAATGCGAAGGAAATTGTGTCCAAAGAGGCTTTAATATGGAAAAAATATAGTCTTCAACTAATGCAATCTGAAGAAAGATGTTTACGTGAAAGGGCAAAAACTCATTTTGAGGTTATGATTGACAATTTGTGTAATGCAGCTGAGAAACTACAAATTTTTGACATTATATGGCCTAAACTTCTTTTAGATATGATTATTAATATATTAGCCGATTACTCGCAAATGGAGGTATATTTAAAAAAATTTTAGTGTTTCTTCCACAAAATAAATTATCAGAAAAATCAATGTTTTGCCTTTGTCTTAGGGTGATTAGAACTTCTTATTCTTCTAGGTTTTTACAATAATACAGTTTGTGTGAAATAGTAGATACACATATAGATACAACCAATTTATACAATATAAATATAAGATTGCAGCTTTTATGTTTTTTATTTGAAATAACAATTCAGTCCAAATGTCTCAGACATCAAAAATTTATACGAGTTTCCCACTCTCATTGACACGAATTTATTGAGCTTCGACAAAATCGGAAAAGGTGTGTTCATACATTATATCTTTGTAAATATTGAATCCAGTTTTGTAATTTTTTTTTAATAATTCAAATTGACTAACCATTAGTTTTGCTCTATCGTGTTTTCGTGTGTCTATGTTTCGGCACGGAAGTGCTGTCACAACACTTTATGTTAACTGGAAAGGTTTGGTTCGCTTCAATCTTTTTGTCCGAACCCTCTCCCAACAAGTCGGGAGGCCTTTACATTTACAAGCTGTTCCAAATATGCTCTATGTTTCCTTATCTGCTCACTTACTAGGGAGACACCCAGATCCCTATGAATATCACTATTGCGCACATACCAGGGAGCATCCACTGTATTACGAAGGACCTGTTCTGGAAAATTTGTATTTGTCCAATGTATGTTTGTTTGACACAAACACTTTCGGTTATATATCAACACCCTATCGTACTCGTATCTAAAAGCCAGTAGTATTTGTTTTCTAATTCTACTCGTTTTCTTTTTACATTTCTCACCTGAGTTTAACACCCAAAGTCATACCTAAGTATTTCGCTATGTTTTGGATTGATACTTTAGCACTATTCAAACTCAATTGTGGTGGCTTAACTAAATTTTTGTTTGAAAATCACATGTACAGATTTATATTCATTTAGCCTTATTTTTTATGTATTTGTACATTTACTTATACAATTACTTCCTTCCTGTAAATTTTATCGATTGTTGTTGTTGTTCCATTCCATTCAATACAAGCAGCATACTTTGTCGAGCTTGTAGTGTTCCTCTCCTTGCTAATTCAACCATTAGGTGGTTCATTACGGATGAGGCGATGATGCATAGCGATTTAGAGACTCCTTCTGGAGACCCAAACATCTGAAGAATCCGAGTAGGTTTTCCGTGGCAACCTTATGATTGCCTTATAATGCTTCCGGTCATGGTTGCTTAAAAGCACCTTCACTTGCCGAGCCCCGTACGCGCGCTCCATAGCTTCAGTCTTTTTTCCTCCGCTTCACGGATCTTGCCTGATCCAATACGATAACAGAGCTCCGGCCTAACAAAACGGGATTTGGTTCCCCGCTTCCCTAGTATTTCTGTTTCCTCACTCCCTTCTGTTTCAACATGTCTTGGCAACCAGCACAGCGCAACCCGATTGTCCTGACGCAAACGCTCGAGCTTCGCGAGACATTCCCACACTGAAAGGGTATCCACATTGGGTGTATATTCATGGACTCGAAGTATTTGATCTGACCTAAATACTCAAGCACCTTTCGGTATGACACCTGGTGTGGTTACCCATCGGGCAGCTTATCAATCCCCTCCAATTATTTTTTTTTCCCAGCTTTAAGGTGAAGTTTTTCCTGCCCTGCATACTATGATTGCCCTGGTAGCCCTTGCCATGACTATCTGCTTGTGTTTTTTCCACCGAACCTCCTTTCCAAACGTTACACTCACATATTTGACTTCCTTATTCAGTTCAATGGTTTCTCCATGCAATGGTATTGCGCGAACACACTCAAACTCACCATGCGCGCAGACGCAGAGCACCATCCCTTCGTTATTTGAAGCCCACTCTGTATAAAGACAATGTCATCTGCATAAGCCTGGCACTCAAATCTCCGCGATAATCTCAATTCTTATTGACGCCAACAACTTACACATCCATAATGTGCGAGGTGTCGCCAAAAGGCGCCATCGATACCTAGAAAGCACATATCGCTATTTCTTTGTGCTCAAGCGATTCAGCTATGGCACTAGTCAACGTATGCAAAGCAGTGTTCGTATGCATACTGGCAGCCGCTGAATGGACGGTCTACTAACACCGTCGTCCACAAGTAAATTACCAGTACCTTTTCCATTGTCTTCAGAAGATAATAAGAAGAGAAGACGATGTGAAGCTTATTGGCTTGATCAAATTGGGCACCATATCCCTTCGTCTTACCTTCGGGTTGAGCATAGTTTTGGCCCTCCGCCAGAAATCTGGAGAATATTCGATAGCCAGATTACTTGGAAATTTTTAGTCAATTCGAGATGAGTCCCCAAAAGAAGAAGAGCCCCCTGCTCATCATTCTTCGTCTAACTCACATCCACCCTCCTTAGGGAAACCAAAGCAGTTACACCCTCTGTTGCTAATGCCGTATTTAGATTCGGCGCCGCTAGCGTATCCGCTATGCTTCCGCAGAAGGGCCTGCAACTCCCCTTCCTAATCCTCCGCATCTCCCTGTTATGGAAAGTTGATCTCCTTCAGTAACTTTTCGATTCCTCGAAGGTTAAACCGGATAATTTTATGGTCCAATATGGAAATCTCTTCAGGTACTCACCAGTTCCGCACGAGAATTCTCACATTCGAGCTACTGAATTTGCTACTGAATTTCGGGCTACGCATTCTCGTTAGAGGGTCACTTGACTCGGAGGGTCTTCTCCCCTGGATTCGTCCTGAAGGCTGAAGAGGATTAGTTCTAGGTCCTCAGCTATGTCCTCAACTGCTTGGAATTGATGTCTTCGCTCGTCATCCTTCGTGTCCTTTTCTACACTTGAGAAATCATCCCTCATCTCTTCTTCTGGGTCTTTTCTCCATCCTCTGATCTTCCCGACCCGGTACCTGTCTTTGTACCCTTCTTCTTCTGTGGCAACTGCTGACATTATGTCAATGTCAACTTTTGGTAGCTAGCCCCCTCCTGCTTCTTTCTGCCCCAGCAACTTCCAAGCTCGGATGTGCATTCTCCTGTTTTGAGCTTAGAAAATTGCCAACAGCTTTTCTCATTTCTAACCGGGGCACCTGGGCAAGCACAAGTGCCTGGCGGATGAGCCAGTCAGTCGTCTCCTCGTCGGAACAGTCGATGAGAACCATACCCGGCTTGAAGTGTAAACTTTCAAACAGAATTATTACGACCCATGCACTGGCCAACTAGTTGACAATCAGCTCCTAAAGGTTGGTGAAATTCACTTTCTTATATAAGATTTCCTTCTTATATAAGTTTGCGTATCCAGTTAATTTAAAAGTAACGTTAAAGTTCAATGCACTTTTGAACTTGAAAAATATTAACTAGTATTATTAAATTAAAGTGCATTGTTATTGTGAATGCGCTAGTTATGCAATATTAATAATAACAAAGAAGGAAATGGATATATTATTGTGATTGTAATTATTAAAGAGGATTGCATTTTTGGAAATTTAGTCACAGCGCGAAAGTTCTAATTTAAGTCAAGATAACATTTCTTATAGTGAACATAGTAAGTAGACGTTTGTTAACATCGTGTTTTTTTTTTTGTAAAATTCTTTACAAAGTTTTTTTTTAAATTTTTAATTAGAATAAAAATGAAATGTCCGAAATAAAAAAATTTTATAATATAAATTTAATAGTTTCTTTTTTTCCTTCTGTATGCTGTTTGAAGAGCTGTCTTCGATCTTGAAGGATAGTCTAAAATTAATCCATGAAATCATTTCATCAATCCAACAATCATTTGAAGTATTTATATTTTTGTACACGATGCTTTTTGGTGTTTTAATTTTTATTTGTAAGTGTGACGTCGTCATTATACAGGTATTGACATAGGCATAAACACTATCCGGGCTTTACGTCCGATTTTAAGTGAAAGGAGCGATGTCAATGAAGATGTTACTTGATGTGGATTACAATTGTAGGAAACGTTGCGAGAATTACACTATGTTACATGCTGTCCATATTGACATAGTGTTTCTTCAGGATAGTTATATATGAACGTGATACCAATGGTCATATCATAAGTGGTGTCATATCACCAATGAAATGCAGATGTTATAATGTTGCATCAATTGGTATTGATGTAGACGATCCATCAATGCAATAACAATATTCGCGTGATGTTGACGATCCATCAATACAATAACAATATTCGCGTGTGTGTACATGTTGATTTTGTATTGTCCCATTTTTATAATTATTGCTTCCAAATTTTAATTCCTGAATTTTGTTTTTGTTATATTTTTAGGTAAATACACCTGTAAGCAAAAACAAGAAAAAAATAGGAAAGATGGATGAGCTTTAAAGCGACCCCGGCTCGCATGTAGGATGTAAAGGAAATACATAACAAAGGAGATGGAGTGACAACGACACAACGTTAAATTTAATTAGTTTAAGTTTTCTATTTAAATAACTATAAATAAGTTAGGGTTAATTATAAGTTAATTTAAAATTAAATTTCAAGAATAAGTTATAGCATAAGTTAGGCTAGCTTCTCTTGTACGTTGTTTTTTCACGGTACTCGTTTATGATTAGGACGAATTCGATTTTTAGTATAAGTTGTAGCATAAGTCAGGCTAGCTCCTCTCGCAGGTTGTTTTTTCAGATTGCTTGTTTATGTTTAGGAAGATTTCGATTTTTTAGTATAAGTTGTAGCATGAGTGAGGCCAGTATTCTATTAGGGTGTCTTTTCAGGTTCAGTGTTTTTTGTTTTACTATTTGTAAGTAGGTATTTCTTCTGTCAGCATTCCGTTTTGTTTGAAATCGGTAATAGGCAAATTTTTGAAATAGGTCGTTTCAATGTACCATTTCTAGTTCTTAGAACAATTATTCTAACCAAGCCACCCGAACCTGTGTCAATCTCTATCTCGTCCTAATAGCCATTGACTAGGTAGCAAATTTTCATCCCTTAGAAGCACCATATTGCTAACTTTGATATTTTCTATTTTAATCATCCATTTAGGACGTTGCTGTAGCCGTAATAGATATTCTGACCATCGTTTCCAAAACATCTGATGCA